GACTTGAGTGAGAGAGAAGAGAGACTGTGTGTGTGTGTGTGTGCAGAGACGTTGAGCGATACAAGACTTGAGTGAGAGAGAAGAGAGACTGTGTGTGTGTGTGTGTGTGAGAGAGAGAGAGAGAGAGAGAGAGAGGTGCAGAGACGTTGAGCGATACAAGACTTGAGTGAGAGAGAAGAGAGACTGTGTGTGTGTGTGTGTGTGTGCGTGTGCGTGTGTGTGTGTGTGTGTGTGTGTGTGTGTGTGAGAGAGAGAGAGAGAGAGAGAGAGAGAGAGAGGCCAGATAGAGGGAGGGGGAGCTGAGCATGTACCTGTGTGGAGATTACAGCATTGAGTTGCGGCTCGTTGCCGCTGGATACTTGGAGTGGAAATACATCTGGCATTGATTCTTGCGTTATCTCTCGGGTGTGGTGTGAACTCTCATGTGAATGCTCTCATTTTGCATGTTCAAATTGAATTGGAATTGCGAGGTTCATTGCATAACCATGATCACACAGCATGGTGCATATTTCTGCACAGCCTACAGTGCTAACCGAAGTTACGGTTTTACCATGGCATGTAGCACTACCGTGATCTAATAGATGCTTGGATTGGCTTGAGCGACGGCTTGGCAGCGACTGACGAGTTTCAAATTCCGTGTGTCTGTGCGGCTGAAATCTGTGTGTGCCAAGTTCAGCTGCGTTCGGTCCAGCCTCAGCTGGCCCTTCTTCTCCCTCTGCTACTTCGTTGTAGTATCTCTGTCATTCTCTGACAATGACTGGCATGCCTACCGTCTTCCCCCGACAAATCTGTACTTGGCCCAGTTTTCACTCCAGATGCAGTGAGAGTGACAGTTGCTTCGTTGTAGTAACTCTGTCATTCTCTGACAATGACTGACATGCCTACCGTCTTCCCCCGATAAACGAACGTATGGTCGTTATATCCGTATTTGGGCCAATTTTCAGTCCAGATGCAGTGAGAGTGACAGTACGTGCTATTCGAGCGAAGACGGTAGTTCGTGTGCATGAATTGGAGATCTCCCGCTCCACAACGTTGCTGCTTGATTCCTGTGTGGACGGTCTGCAGGGAGAACTTATGTATAAATGACTCTCTTTTCCTCTTGCCCTCTTGATGCCTCTCATTGTCCCCACCGCCTCCTCTTCCTCCTCCTGCTCCCCCCTCTTCCTCTCCTCCATATCCCCTCTCTCTTCTTGTTCCCATTCTCTCTGTCGACGTGTGTGCATGCATGCTCATGTTCGACTGTTTTGTGCACACATGCGTACGTGTTCGACTGTTTTGTGCACACGTGTACGCTTGTCTGTGAATATTTAGTATTGACTATGTACTCTCTGATGTCGGGCTGGTTGTTTGTGTGTCTGTGGGGGTGGGTGGGTGGGTGTGGGTGGGTGGGGGTGGGGGTGCGTGGGGGGGTGTGGGTGTGGTTGTGGGTGGGTGGGTGTGGTTGTGGGTGGGTGTGGAGAGAGGGAGAGAGACTGTAGCTGCTGTCATTATCAGCTACACTTGATAGGCTTGGGTTCAGGCCTGAAAAAAGCTTGGGTTCAGACTTTGTCCTCACCTTAAGAAATCTGGAAAGTTCGTTTTCGGAAGTTTTTCCATCTCATTTCTAAAGCTAACTTTTGAACTTTAAACTTCAAACTTCAAACTTCAAAATTTAAAGAATATTGCCCATGCAAGAAAAATGAGCAATAGTTCCCTCGTTGGAGGCTTGAGCACGGATGTGGCTGCTACGGGGTTCCCCATAATACTATAATGACAATAAGAAAGGCCTGAACGGCCGTCCTGTCCAGATTTGACAGGTAATTGAATTGGTTGGGCTTAAAGAATTAGCCATTAAAAAAAAAAAGAAAAARAAAAAAAAAAAAAAAAAGAAAGGAAGAAGGTAGAATCCAGATTACACGATCACATTGAAAGCCAGAAAGTCTCACAGTGTCCAGAAAGCAGTATTGCACCAATGTTAGTTACACCGATGGAGAATCGAAACACTGAAACCGAATGTCAATGAGAGCTAAGCCTTACTCTCGTCATCACCAATATCAGAAGAGTCCAGGCCCTTCCCCCTACCTGGCGCTCGGCGCCCACACTACTCCCCAACACAGCTACTATCTGACTATGAATTGACAATGCAACTGTTGACGTCAGCAGCCACCGAAGTAAATGAAGATGTCGCACAATGCAGACCATCGCCAATACCAGGTATGAGGCTATGAGCCCTCACATCATCATCCTCATCTCTATCTCTCTCTCTCTCTCCCTCGTCCTTCTCCCTTGTCTTCCCTCTGGGCACCCGAAGACCACCTCTGTGGCTTGCTGTATTCCAAGCCCAGCCAGCTATGGAAGCTGGGCTATGGCGCTGCCATCGGCAGCGCCCTTCTTCCTACACGACCGCACGTGCACAGCACCTTGCCCCTAGCGCTAGCAGCAGCACGTGAGTGTCGGCTTCAACAGCGCTGCCGCAAACTGGCAAGTGCCTGAATGAGATCCCAGGCAGCGGACTCTTTCCTACATGGAAAGAATCTGGCCTGGGCTGCGGCCTGGCTGGGCTGGGCCTGCGCCCAGAAGCTTCCGGTAGGCCCGAGGTGGCTGGGCCTCTGCTGCAGCTGCAGGGCCTGGTTCAGTTATGCCCCCCAACTGTCTGTGTATGTTGCTGCGACTGTGACCCTGGGCCATTTCTTTCAGAAAAGGCCTAGAAGGCCGTGGAAAGTGTTTGCTGCTCGGGTCCTGGGCTCCCTCAACCAACTGACGCGGCGACACAACTGCCTGAACCCCAAATAATACAAAATTGACAGCATTGGGGCTCTCGTGATTTGTTAGGCCCGGCTTCACTTAGGGCGGGCACACTTGCATCAGGGGCCCCTTAGGCCTGCTGAGGAGCCGTATCCTCGCACCCATCTTTCTTTTTTTTTTTAATCAGTGAGACCTTCCGTTTTTCTTCTCACTAAAAGAGTAAGCAAAGCAAGCTTGATGAAAACCGGCACCAGCGATACCGAGGTAACAGCAACAAATAAATGGTCTTCAATGAAGTTCAATCTTCAAAGCTTAACTGAAATTGAGTCCGGCTCTCTGTCTTGGGCCACGAGTTTATCATTTTGTCTGCCAGTCTCTTCATACGTCACTTGTGACAAGGTATCAACAACAACAACAACAACAACAACGGCAACAACGACCACGACGACGACAACAACGCCGACAACAACGACAAAATTGAACAAATAAGTGATGTTCGAGTTAATGGAGACTGGATGCTTTTCGTTCTCTTGTGCCGTTAGTTTTTCCAGGGTCGCTTTGT